CCCCTTTCAGGTTTTCTCCGGTCCCGACATAACGTTTGAACGTTTCGCAAGATATTTGGTATCAGTATCTGTATCAGACGACCTAAGCCGACCTTTTTGTCCAGTTTTCATCTTGTTTGGCATTAAAACGTCTGAAGTGAATATAAAAAAAATATCACTTGACTTCTATATTCTGGTAAAAATATTCATTCTAAGAGAAGATGCCGTCTTTTGGATGCGTTTATACTTAGATTCGATCGGTATACCGCAGTTAGAAAATAGATGCAGAATATTTCAAAGGGATATTCAAACTCTTAAGTCGATGACAAACTGACAACGTTATGGCAAAAAACGAAAAGCGACTAAAAGACAAACAACAGTATACAAAACACAACATAGAAAACCAAAGACTGAACAATACGAACCCGACCTAAACTGGGGGTGATCTCAGAAGCTCCGGAAGGGTGAGCAGATCCTGCCCCACTAGTGGCGTGTTGCTAACGTAAGTACAACCTCGGTGATAAGTCTAATTTGGTGATGTCACATTCGATGAAAAAGGACGTTGTGGGTAAAGAAATTGGAAGATATCGGTCGTGATCTGTGAAACAGATATTCAAAACGGTCAACCAACTCGTGATGGTGTCCTTAAAACTTTCGAAAGGATGACTTCAACTTCACCACTTTGAATACTTGCTTTAATAGCTTTTTTGTAAGCAGCAACCCTCTATAAAGTAAATCGTGTTGGAAAACGAAGCTCTGAACTAGGAGATATATACTCCATATGCAGGCGCTGCTGGAATATTGCTACATAGAAATGGAAAATTAACAACAGGGAAGCTGAAATCACCTCTTTTGTCATACAGTTTTGTTGTCAAGCAACCTCCATTGTCAATTTCTAGATGTAAGTCAAGATATGAGGCAGACATAACTGTATCTGTTGGATAGACGCGTTCAGCATATTCACCAAACTTTGAATAATTCAATGGGAGGACATAATCTATATAGCGGAACGTGAATTTATATAATAATGCTAGCTTCTTGTCATTCTTCCGAGGAAGCTCCTACATGAAGTCTGTCTTATATGAATTCGGAACAAGTCGACAAGAAGAAGAGCACAGTTATTTTCATTTGAATGCGGATTGTTAGTTGAAAAACATGTCCTCCAAACGTAATTAATGTGTTGTCAATCAAGAAATCAAGCATCTTCATAGTGTCAGTATCAGTGTATTTTTGTTTGAATCAGTCTTTTTTTACCAAATATGATTTGTATCTCCCTATATCAAGATATTTATATCAATATTTGCCATTATTTTATATGAAACAAAGTAAGACCAATTCTTTCAATTTGTCTTTAAATTTGAAATGGGGAATACTTGTTAAAAGGATAGAAAGTCAATTGTTCAATACCACGAATACTATTGCAAGAGGAAAGAGACTTAGCTTGTATACACTCTAACAGATCTTTGGAATGTGACACGAACTTTGCACGTTAAAGAACCCTTGCAAGAAGAATTTTGTACGTTATTGCAAGAAATATTTAATAAAAAAACATTGTCGGACTCACAATATAAAGGAGTCTTAACATTACTATTTAAGGGCGGGGAACGAGAAAATATACGAAACTGGCGCCCTCTTACACTACTGAATTGCGATTATAAAATTATAGCAAAAATACTAGCAGAAAGACTAAAAATAGTCCTTCCAATGCTTATTCATCCCGACCAAAAAGGGTTTGTAAAAGGCAGACATATAACGGAAGCGAATAGAATGATACAGGATATCATAGAATATATTGATGATGAAGATGAAGAGGGTATAATTGTCTTTTAAGACCAACAAAAGGCCTTTGATAGGATGGAATGGGGATGGCTAGACTTCGTTATGACGGAATTTAATTTTGGAGACAATTTCCGTGGTTGGGTTCAAATGCTATTAAAACGTGCAAAGACGTGTATCAAAACAAATGGCTACGTCTCAAAATATTTTTCAATTTCTAGATCAGCCAGGCAGGGGTGTCCTATAGCCCCTTATTTATATATATTACAGGCACAGCCCTTGGCCTGTGCAATAAGGGCAGAAAAAGACATTCAAGGCATTATATTGCCTGGGGAAGAAAATGGGGAGCTACTAGAAACCAAATTGAATATGTTTGCAGACGACACACAATTATTTAATAAAAATGAAATTTCTGTTAGAAAATCTTTTGAAATATTAGACAAATATGAAAAGGCATCGGGTTCTAAAATTAATTACGAAAAGACTAAGGGAATAAATATTGGCGCAAATAAACACAAACGGCCTACTTTTCAAAAGATAAGCTGGACAACAGATAACATAAAAACACTAGGTATTCACCATGGTTATAACATTGATAATGACAAAATTTGGAAAACAATATTAGAAAAAGTACAAAATTGTGTACATGTTTGGAAAAGTAGAAATTTGACATACACTGGAAAAGTCCTTATTGTTAAAAATTTAATTATTTCAGTGTGTGGTTATGAGTTAGAAATAAGAGGTATACCTGAAAAATACAAAAAAGATTTGAATAAGATAATATGGAATTTTATTTGGGATGGTAAAGTGAATCAAGTAGACCGTAAGGTTTGTTGTTTAGATGTTAAAAAGGGGGGCATGGGGATGGTAAATTTGGATAGTTGGATAGGAAGTAAATATATCAAATCGTTATATTCGATATTACACAAGCCATTATCTATTAATGCAATAGGTAAATTTTGGTTAAAAAAATACGATAAGAAATTTGCAGATGAACTTTTTTTGTGTAGATGTTCTGACCTTTCAGGTCTTGAGATCAAAAACCTACCACATTATTACAAAAGCGCTTTACAATCGTGGTCAAAATTGACAAATATCACACAGGGTATCTTTAACGAAATGGAAGTAAAGAAACAGCGATTATTTGGAAACTCAAATATTTTATTTCAGGGCAAATCTTTATTTTATTCTTCTTTTTCAAAAAGTCAAATAAAAACTATTGGTGATATATGGGACAATAATACCAAAGATTTTAAATCGTGCAATGAAATATATCAACAACTAATAGATAAACGTAATTGTATTTCGGAATACTCGCGAATTAAAAGTTCCATACCATAAACATTCGTGCAGATTTTAAAAAATAACGATGTTCAAAGCACTTTAAAAAGCCACAAAATCAAAATTTCTGAAAACTTTGAATTTCTAAATCCAGATAATAAAATCATTAAAATCAAAGATTTGACATTAAAATATCTACAGTTAAACATAAACATAACTGAGACCCCTAAGTGTCAAACAAAATGGGAAAATTTGTATAGCGAGTATATGAATTGGGAAAAAAAATGGCTAAATCTCAGTAAAATGGATATTAATAGAAAAGTTAAAGAATTTTAATGGAAATGTATACACAGGATTATATATACCGAAAAAAGACTGCAAATAATGCATATGTCAAATGGAAAATGTCACTTATGTGATGAAAATAATAATATTGAAACACTCGAGCATTTACTTTATCAATGTAATAATGTTAAACCATTGATAGAAACAGTTTTCAGAAATTTACAACTTTGTAACCTAATAAATAACGAGACGCTCGTTGAAAAAGATATTCTAATAGGAATCTGTACAGATAATTCGAATAATATAATTGTTAATGCAATAATACTTTATTTTAAATGGGCTATTTGGAAAATACGTAATAAATGCAAATTCGATAAAATTAAACTGAATATGCAGTCTATACAAAGCCTGTTGAAATTGCAAATGAAAAACGAATTAAAACTACTCTTGCTACGCTCGGATATAAAGTATATATGCAGATCAAAAATTGAACTCTTTATCGAAAAAATATAAGAAGATATACTTAGTTCTACTGCTCTAAACTAAAGGTGTATTCGATTCCATATATAATAATCTTATTGTATTTTAGAAAGAACGTAGTGAACAATAAGTTATTTTTACAGAAAGAAATATTTGTATTGTAATCGATATTTGAATCTATGTCTGTGCATATTATGTATATTAGTAAATTACCACATATATCATGCTTCTTAATACATGAGTACTTACCACATGTGCTTTATCCTTTTATAATCCATACGTATATATTACAGAATAATTTCAATTTTTGTTCAATCACATCAATAATTTCCAATTCAAATTTTCTCAATCAAATATATAGTTTTCAAGTTTAAATAAACACATGTTAGTCAGTGAACCGGATATACGATAGTGATTATGTATTACAGTGATGCTTAACAGGTAAAATCGATTGGGTTCCAATCGATTGTGTTGGTTATTTAAATATATGTATGTAAAACTATTGTAAGTTTAAATTCATTTGATTTTTTCCCTGGTCAAGTGAGGCTGTTAAAATACAGGGGCCCCTAAGTATGCGACCTGGGCTACTTAGGTATTTATATATCAGGAAATGATTGAATAAAGATATTCGTTATCGTTAAAAAAAAAAAAAAAAAAAAAAAGAACCCTTGCAACAATCTGGGTTTTCTTATGTGTCTTATTTGTCATGTTATTAATCAAATTTTCGACTCTACTCAGCTTATCTTTTTCAGTGGTCCCTACGACCATCTGTACCAACTGATAGAACTTATCGAATAAACTATTCATAGATAGGCCTACAATTTTGTATTTCGAATAAAAAAGTTAAAAAGGCCAAATAAAGTGCGAAGTTGAAGAGCATGGAGGACCCCAAAATTCCGAAAGGTTTTGCCGATTACAGCTATGGCAATCTATTCCTGAGGTAGAAAATCCTTAGTATTTCGAAAAATTAAAAGTTTTGTAAACGAATTGATCAACTGTTGAATATTTTATCGACCCTAGTATGAATTGATTATTCGATTATGGGCGTAAAAATACAATTGCCAGCTCTACAATGAGATGAAAATTTCGAGTAAACAGTACATCAGTACTTTGATTGTATCTATTTAAATTTCCAGTGTTATTTATAGCAATACGAATAATATCATGGAAACGGAAGTAAATCAAGAATATATTGCTTTTACAATATGGCGCTCTCTAGGCCATGTAATGGCCAGACAGAATTATTCACTTGTCAAATCTGCAATGAAACTTTCAAAGTACCGAAAATATTACCATGCTTGCATACCTTCTGTGAACAATGCATACACGAGATCATAATATCAACTGGACGCAAAAAAGAACCACATTCAACATGTTCAAGAAAAGAGTTTAGTTGTCCTACTTGCAGAACCCTTATCAAGCCAACAAATACAAAGTCGGATATTGATACATGGGCTGCTGACCTGCCTCATAATGTAATCATACGGGAAATGATTGCTATGTCAAACGGAGAAAAAAAAAAGTGTAGTGCTTGCAAACGACATGATGAAATATCAGAAGCAAAGTTCTGGTGCGAAATATGCGAAGAAGCTTTCTGTGAAAAATGCAATGATATGCATAGTCGTATGAAACTTTCTGCGTCGCATAATGTAATTCCTGTTGAAGAATTTGCTTCCTTAACTTACGGAATGGTTGTTAATGCGATATCTGAGCATTGTTATGTTCATCCGTCAAATTTAGTAGATGTGTTTTGTTGTGATCATAAAATTATTTGTTGTGGTTCGTGCGTATCTACTATGCACAGAAGATGTAAAAGAGTGATGACTATTGCCAGCGTCATGACAAGTGGCAAATACCAGTCTCTCCCAGTGAAGATAAATGAAATTAAGCAAGCGGTAGAAAATCTATTAAAGGAAAAGGATCAAGAAAAAGCTGATATCAAACTTGCAACAGAATACACAGAAGAAGAAGCGACAAAATTTCTGGAACAACTTAAAAGTAAACTTGATAATTTGTTTGATAAATTTGTGAAACAACTACACATGTTCCGCGATGAAAAATATACGAGTTTTAATGTACGATTGCGGCTATTGGAACAATTTGGGAAGAATCTAGACCATTGGATCCGTTCGATTGAAGTTGTTGAAAAATTTGGAACCAAGACACAGCTGTTCATTCTTGTTGAGAAAATAAAGCATCATATTGCATCGCATGTAAGCGAAATCACCCGGGTTAACCACAGCGACACATTGGTTGAGTTAAGCTTTCAAAAGAAAGGCATTTTCAGCCAGCTCGAGACAATGGTAGAAATTGGAACATTTAATACATATCAGAGTCCGATATTTGGTCAGATGATTGATATTTACAAGCGCTGTGCAGGTTTAGGCTTAAATTGTTATCCCAAATTCAAAAATGCGAACGTAACGTTCGTTGAAAGTATTTGTGTCACAGGTTCAAAGTTTACATGTGGTGTATGTATAGATGAAAAATATATGATAGTTGGAGATGCTGGACCACAGAAAAAAATGTACATCGTTGAAAAACATTCAGGTTATATCGTCAGCACCACAGATATCCATGGTGATGTCAAACGTTTATGCTATGATAAAAAGTCGAAGCAGCTATTTATATCATGTTATAGTGAAGAATTATACAAAGCAGAAGTTAAAGCTCAAGAAATAGTTAAACTTACAAAAAATCCTTTTAATAAAGATCATATTGGTGCATTGTTTAGTTCAAACAACGAAGTGTATGTTGTTGTCAACAGAGCAATCAAGAAATTCAGTATAAATGCTGATTCAAACGAAATGAGTACATGCTTCAACACTAACACAGGTTGTGGTCTAAACGGAATGAATGTAATAGGGAAATACATTGTCTTCACAACAGCAGATAAAGAGATCAAATGTTCAACTTTACAGGGAAAGAACAAATTTTGCTATAAAAACGAAGAACTGGAAAGTCCTGAATGTATTGCTGTTTTGTCTTCCGGATTGACTGTAGTGGTAGACAGAGCAAATGGCGGGTCATTACATCTGCTTTCAGAAGATGGATTAAAACACCGAAGAATACTGGAAAAGTTTGAAAATGTAAACAATCCAACGGATATTTGGTTAGATGGCAACGAAGAACTCGTGTACGTTGCAGGAGGAAAGTACATTGATGCATACAGAATAGTCACTGATCAACAAAATGATAGACAAGATTTTAACTCGGACATGTAAATGAATCCCAGTTGATGAATAAAAAAAACCTAGATGTAGTAGGGATATCGAAATTCTCTTTTCTTAAAAGTTCTAATTACTATTTTATTTTGTGTTGCACACCTTTCTTTAACAAACTGTAGAATGATCAAGGTAACCGTATTACAAAAAAGATGTCTTCAGAAAAGCCACCAATGACGTTTGCCTTTTCGTGTCATCTGAGTCAATAGCCACTTCATATATAAGAGGAGAAGAAATACTTTAGATATTTCCAATAGATGAACCATTATGGACAACATCAGTACGATGGTTAGCAAGTAAAATATTTATAATATAGATAATACTCCAGAAAACAGCTCAAATATGGAATATAACCTGAGTTTATATTAAGACCATATACCAATATGGTCAGTGTTTGTTGATCATGCATCAGAAGCAGCATCGTATCCATTATGATGTCATCGTGGCTGAGGCAGATGAACACATACTATAATTATCTAAATACAGGAGCCAACCAAGTAAACATATCTCTAGAAACATATATACGAACAATAAAGTACTTTACAAATTTTCAAACATTTATAATCTAGTCCACCTCGTGGCTGATGCACATGGACATGTCTATTGTCTAATCTATAATAAAATCAAGTATTGGTCGTTTTTATTGTGATTACTGTTTCACGGCTGACATTCGGCATATCGAGAAAAATGATCGTGAAAGAATAAGTAACGATGGTCAAGTATTGCGAAAGGATCGTGAAGGAAATCTTATCGAGAAAACACACGCAAGGTCAATAGATAATCTAATTTATCAAATTAAAAGAATTAATTTGTTCGTCAAAATGGTTCATCATTATGATCAGTATCTGAGAAAATCAGATTTTAAAAGATCACCGTTTTTTCAAAATTACAAAAGGCAGATTGCTCTTCAACATCTCAATGACATAATAAAAAAATGTTAACAAATACGAATTATTTTCATCATATGAATGACTAAATAACTTTACTCTTAAATGGGCATTTGCTGTCAAAATTATGATCACCGATTTGACTCAAATTCTCATATTTGATTTATAACATACTAAACACGTATATCCAAATTACAAAAAGTCCAAAATAAACAATCAACAATGCGTGGACTTTATAATATGTTTCAACATTTCGTGTGTATTTTTGTCTATAGACGTCATCTAATTAACCATCGAGATGACCTCCGAAGACTGCCGACGGTCATTTAACCCGATATAACATAAATATAAATATAAACAGATAGTGACCATGTGAAATTGGATTTTTCTAAGCCTGTTTGATTTCATAATTTAGGTTAAAAAATATGTTTATCATCGATTTTATTTGTATAAGAATGAATTTTTTTTGTGGACCGATTCGGTCAACCAAATGGTTCATCCTGGTTTCAATTTCAATGTTGTTGACATTTTTTCCTTTTAACAGCTGAATACATGCGTAACCCATCCCCACCTAAGGGGTTAAATTAAAGGTCACATGGATACGGATTCAATGAGGTCGAATTATTCACTTGCAAGTGAATAAATCATCAGCGATGTTTCTTAGCTTATTTTGACAAAATTGAACCAAATTGGCTGCCAAAAGCGAATTATTATTTCACTTTATCACTTTCATTAATGATTGAACCAAAAAATATCATATTTATTTTTTTTTATATCTCGAAGCTAATGCCCCTTTAACAATTTCGTTCTATATTAATGTTTCAAATGGCTCTTACAATTATTTTGTAATAGCTTAATCAGAAAGTGGTGCAAAATTGCAATATTTATATAAATTTGATAATTATTATCGTGAAAGATCGATAACACCGTTTTGTGATCGTGAAAGATCGGTACCACCTTTTTGTGGTCGTGAAAGGGATCGTGGAAGATTTATCGTCATTACAAAAATTATTGAAATCGTTCAAATTGTTTTTTAATTATATAAAAATTTATCATTGTAATTGAAAATTTAGTATTGTAATTGGTACAGCAAAAGACTGGAATTCTATGACAATCACTGTCTGTTTGCCCGTCTCTTATGTTTATGTTGTATTATAAGTCAAGGTTGCCTCATATTATATCAATCGTTTTATGAGCATTAGTTATTTCATTAAGAGGAAGATCTTTTGTTAAAAAAAAAAGTGGGATTTTGGTAAAAACTCATTTTTTTTTTTAAACTCACAAATTTTGAGAAATATCTTTAGAGCTAGTATTTCAACGGAAAATGATAACTGATTCCGGGGATTTCAAAATGTGGCATGTGAAAATTGGTGAAATATGTGGTAAACAATTCGTTTTTATTCACATATTAACAAATTATAATGTGCTAGGATTTCAACAACAATTTATATTTAGGTATATTATGGCATTCCAAAGTGATTCCGGTCAAAGTAGATAAAACTAGAGGCTATAAATACCCTGTGTCGCTCACCCGCATCTTCAACAATGACCACTTTTTAATAAAAAATCATCATTAATCATTCAAGGGGAATAACTCAAATAAGAGTTAACTGAAATTTCAGTCAAGTTGACATATTTGTAGATCATATCCTGCTGATAATTTTTCCTTTTTATAGTTTCTTTTTATCTATTATAGTTTTCAAGATAATAGGTAAAACATGCATATATTCAAAATTTGAAAGAATACCAAAGAGTCCTGCAATGTTGATTGTAAATATGATTGTGTGTATACATATAAATAAAAATCTTTCTTACGTTATAACAGAATTATCAATAAGTCCCATGAAGGATGAAATCGCTAGACTTTTAACATAAAAGTTAGTTATTTTTCCTCTGTGAATGACCATGGAAGTACTACTTGGATATAAATAAAATCAGTATTATTTTAGCTAAGTTTTTTTTAAGGTTTTGTAGAAATGAAGCGGTAGTCAATTACCAATTACAACAACGAAAAAGGTACGTCCTTAATAAGCTATTGCAAGCTTCAATCAATTAAAGTACATCAATTGGTAAAAGAAATCTATTTTTTTGTATGATTAATTTGAAAATTAGATGTGATATGATTGCAAACCAGACAATATGATTCAGCAGAGACTAAATAGCGTAGATTAAGCAACTAGAGGTAACCGTATGACAATACACCTTACCGCTATTTGTCCGCCATTACTGGACATCACAAAAGTTCCCTTAAAATTTTGACGTCATAATAGAAAATATCTGACGCCACAATGGAAAAGTGATTGTTGTATGACGTCAAAAGTTCAAGCGGGACAGATTCTCGGGTCAAGCGGGAATAGCGATAAGGTGTATCAACCATGAGCAAAATCTACACAGTCTGGCCCCGGCGCCATAAAACTTTTATTTTCTGAGTAAAAAAATATTCTCAGAATGAATTATATTACTCAGCTAAGAATAAGAACTTTTTTCTCTGCCATAAAAAAATATTCTCAACTTTGAGAATACACCTTATCGCTATTTGTCCGCCATTACTGGATATCACACAGGTTCCCGTAAAATTTTGACGTCATAATACAAAATATCTGACGCCACAATGGAAAAGTGATTGTTGTTGACGTCAAAAGTTCAAGCGGCCGGGTCAGCCGGGAATAGCGATAAGGTGTATATTCTTAGTTGCGAATTTTTTTCTCAGTGATGTAAGCGGTAAAATAGATGTTTGAAAACTAAAAAGTGTACTTAAACTTCGCAAAAACGCAGGTTTTATCTCTTTAGCAACACTGTAAAACATAAAAATAATCTATGATAGATAAAATGACAAATAGAATTGTGTAAGCATCGGTAAATGGACAGAAAGTCACAGTCCTGACAAAAAGTCACAGGATATAAAGTCACAAATTATTTGTGGACAATTGTTTGAAATTATAAGAGAAAGATGTTGAAATATTTGAGTTATTAACCCGTAGCTTGTTATAAAAATATTTTACTTTTTATATTTCTCATACAACTTCTGTCTTAAGATACACGTATTAATGATTATGTTTTATACATGGCGAAATCTTCGAAACGTAATCTCCTTGGAATGTATAACCTTCGTTGACGTTTACGTGAAGAGTGCTTTCTTTCACGTCCGCACTTCTATCGAGTATGGTATGCCAAATAAACATATTATTACGGATCAATGACATACATTATGCATTCAGACGACATAAGAAGAAACCATGTGACAATTCTAAGCCAATTGTTTATTGAAACAGAGCTGCTTTTTTCTCAGATCTACAAATAAACAAAAAAAAAAACAAATCATAACAAAAAAAACCCAACAAACCGGATATTTTTATATCAATATGAATGCCAGTAAATAATTTTAATCTGTTTTTAATATTCAAGATATGTAACTTTTAAAACTAATATAAATTTGATACAGAATTGAATACGATTTAACAATTATGCAAGTAGTCATAAAAATTGCTCCTCATAATGAGTTTAATATATTGCACAGTGAGAGAAAATGAAAGTACGACCTCGTGTGAGAAGGCATGGCATATACCGGTATTGTCCATTACATTTATTAACAACACCTTGTACAAATATTTTTTTCGAAAATAAAAACTGTTAAATAGAACAAACAAAACTATCTGTCACAATGATATATGAGGGTCTTGATAAAGGGAAAGGGGGAGTGGGGGAGGGTGTTCTATTTTTCCATATTCTGTAATTTTATTGGCCATTTTTCTCTATCCAGTAAGAAATGTTTATTCTGTAAATGATTCTTGTTTTCTAATCGTGCATATGGAAATTTCCTTCTGTATCATGATTTTGACATGATAGATTTTTTTTCTGTATCAAAGACATATGTATGACGACACTACCCAGTAATACACCCCCCCCCCTTTTTTTCCCTCCCCGAATCTGTCACTGTACTGCACAAATGATACATTTATCGATTTTGACTAATATCTGTTTAAAACTAAACAGGGAGGAAATTATTTTACTTTCTTTGTAATAATTTGGATATCTGAGATAATAATCAGTAGATAGGGTGACATTACATGTATTTGGTTTGTAGGTATGAGGTACCAGTACTACAATCTAATTAAGGTAGCTGTAGTAATTTGTAAAAAGTAGTTTTTTTAAGAGAGATCTGAAAACTAATAGAAAAAAAAATCGACCTCCTGAACTAGATTTTATCCTTGATAGACCAACTATCCAACACAATATAAAATATTGCCTATGTATCAACTATTTTGGAGAATATTAAAATATATTTAACATTTATTGGTAGTGAACAAAAAATGCTATACCCCCCAAAAATTCAAAGAAAAAGTTATCCGTCCTCGAGTATCAGTCAAATAGCCCTTACCAAACAATGGAATTATGGATCTTACAAATCTGAAACCGAAGACGTAGTAAGCATGCTGGCGAAAGAGACTTTTTGATTCTGCAATTCTATTCAATTCCCGTTAATTGTTTATTTATAAATTTTGAAAATATAAAGAAACTGAGATTTCAACTCCATCGGGCAAAGTTGACCTTCGACTCATTTGATTGGCTATTATTTTAAAGTCCTTTTGGTATAATGGTCATATTTCTGATTTGTTGTTTTCAATTTGTTTTCCACTATTGCAGAGCTATTTGTTGTCAATGGTCATCTTGGTTTGACCTCTGTCACGAACTGTTTTATCAGTGTTGTAATGTGTAATAATTTCTGACACAATACATGAGAAGGATGCAAGG